AATAAATGAAGCTAGCGGCAGAAGAGTTACGAAAGAGGGCAGAAAACATACAACAATAGGGAAGAGGAGAAAAACGAAGGAATTAAGAGAACTGGATGAGAAAATTCCAGATCTTTAGCGCAAAATTATAGATAATTCTGCATGATATTTCGGAATTATAGATAATTATGGGGAGATCTACAATAATCAAAGAGAGGGACAAAAAACCACTGTTAGGAATCGTGTGGTGAAAAACAATAATAGCTATCTTGTTCATTGTAATTGAGTCAGGTTCACGATGTAGATTAGGTTTTTAATATTTTTTCAACAAGATTTCATGCCACTCGAATATGTGTTAATTATTTATTGCGTGATTAATTGTTTTCAATTGTCTGTGCATCAATTGATTAATTCGAGGATAATATCAATGTGTGTGTGTGTATATATATATATATAGCTCGTTCAATAAATGACTTATGTATCATAAGAGATTGAGAAATAAGTATACACTATGCAATCTTGGTAGAATTTCTATTGTGGTCGTACATATATGAATTTATATAGAGATATAATAAATTCAAATATATGAATATGATTAGTTTTGCTCGAAAAATCATTAGCTATAATTGGTTAATTTGATTGTTAACATATATAAAAAGGGGTTGAATGAATTAAAATTAGATGAACATTAAAAATTTAATCTCATAATTCTCAAATGTTATATAAGTGGATTAATTTAGTACAATTTTAAGTACAAAACAAAATATTGAATTGATATTTAGTTATTATTTTAAATTAGATTGAAGTTAGATTAGGGCCGCAACGAGTCATCTATTTTTCAATAAGTCATAAAATTTGCAAGAAATGACATTAATGAAAATGAAAATAAGGAGTGCCGAATCTCAGTGCTCCATGAAATTAACGATTCCTATAACATGATAAACGAAATTATTAATTTTGTTTTCAAATGATTCGCAATGATAATATTTGGCCGAATTGCATGCAAACTTGTGGTGGTAAACATGTGACAATTACAGGTTTCCATGTGAATAATAAATCAATCCAAAGATGAATTTATTATTTGACAGGAGTTATTATCAATGTATGATCTCTACACAAAGAATACCATTTGCAATTAATATTACTGTCCAAAGACTTGATATTAATTATTGACTATTGAAAATTTTATCCTTCGGTTAATTAGAAAAAATTGAAAACAGTCAAAATTTCCGTTTATTTGCATAGAACTTAGTTTATTTTTATACCATCGATTCTGAATTAAGACTTTCAATCCTTTATCTTTTTCTAATCAATGTGCACTCGAGATTTTAAAATAAAAATGCATAAGAAAGATAAATATTAATAATCTATCAAACATGTGGTAATGTAGAGAGAAAAAATATACATTATAAGGAAGAAAGAGCACAGGAGAAAATTAACGTTTAGGATAGAAGAACCTTTGCATTTGGAATGAGTATCTATCTGCTAAACAATCAGATCTTTCAAATTCTATCCAAATCTCATTCTTAACCAAGAAAAAAAGTGAAAAAAAAAATTAAAATTTAAAAAACAAATATAAGCATCTAAACAATTAACAAAACATCAAAAAATTACAATAGCACAATATGAATAAATATAAGCATCGCACCAGAATTGAGATATGGGAATAAAGATAGGAAGTGATCT